TGGCTCACACCCTGACCCTGGTTCTCCCCACCCCAAGGAGGAGCAGCGTGCTGGTCCCTGCCAAAGCCGAGCTGCTCGCCCAGGGCTGGGCACGGCTGCTCCCTGCTGGGTTCTCAGAGCCCTGGAGATCCTGGGGGGGCTCAGGGAGTTGTGGCTGTGCCAGAAATCCCAGCTGAGCCCACCCTGCCGTGGCACAACCACAGCTCCCTGCTCTGAGTGTTGACAAAGGGCAGGGATGGTCCAGCACATTCCCAGGAATAGCCTGAGCTGGAGACCTGGGATGTGCCAGGGCTCTGTCCCACCTCGCCTTGCAGAGAACTGAAACCTCTTGGAAAACACAACGAGCAGCAGCACAGGTGGAGTGGTGGGCACTCGGTGGGGAGGGTGCCCAGGATGGGTCTCCTTGGAGAGCTCAGGAGGGTGCCCAGGAGTTTGCCCAGAATCTCTCCAAGGAGAACCCAGGAGGTTGTCCAGAAGCTCTCCAAGGAGAGCTCAGGAAGTTGCCCAGGAGGTTGCCCAGAGGCTCTCCTTGGAAAGCCCAGGAGGTTGCCCAGGATGGGTCTCCTTGGAAAACTCAGGAGGTTGCCCAGGATGGGTTTCTTTGGAGAGCTCAGGAAGTTGCCCAGGAGGTTGCCCAGAAGCTCTCCAAGGACAGCCCAGGAGGTCGCCCAGGAGGTTGCCCAGGATGGGTCTATTTGCAGAGCTCAGGAAGTTGCCCAGGGACTCTCCTTGGAAAACTCAGGAGATTGCCCAGAGGCTCTTCTTGGAGAGCCCAGGAGGTCGCCCAGGAGGTTGCCCAGAGACTCTCCTTGGAAAGTCCAGGAGGTTGCAGAGCTCAGGAGGTTGCCCAGAAGCTCTCCAAGGAGAGCCCAAGAGGTTGCCCAGGAGGTTGCCCAGGAGGTTGCCCAGGGGCTCTCCTTGGAAAGCCCAGGAACGTGCCCAGGCTGGGTGTCCCAGGTGCTGCTGGGGATGGGTTTTTAGCTGTGCCTTGGTAACTTTTCCCTGCTGTTGGATATTCCCCCACCTGTTGCTGGACCCAGAGGTGCTCGTGGTGGATTTCTGCTGCTGCTCTGTTCTGATGGTGATAAAAGAGAGACAAAATTCCGTGTGCATCCTACACATAAAGATATTCCTCACTGAGTGGAAATGCAGAGTTGCTTAAATCCCACAATTATTGCCTTCCAGCCATGAAATCTCCTCCTGAACGTACTCCCCATATGATGAGTGTTGTCAAGAGGTTCTAAATTCCTGCAGGAGAGATGTAACACGCAGAAAATAACAGGGAGCCTTTGCTGCCATTTATTTAATATTTGAGGGATCATTACCAAAGTGGGAATGATGTTACACTTGTTTTAAATGGGAAATGCAAGAGAAAACAAAGGAATATTAAGGCAGAAGGAGCTGGAGCTTGGTGTATTTGCAATTCAGAGCAGGTAAAAGCAAGGTCTGGCTTCATTTGAACAGAGAAGAGCTGAATCTGTCTCTGAGCTGCTGCCAGGATTTTTTCCATCTTAAATCATGAGGTGCCTTGTAGCCAGCCTTGAAAAGCACTTCGAGAGGCAGAGGTTGGAAATGTCATAAAGTACCAAGTGCACTGGTACAAATCATAAAAATAGATGTTCTCCATCATGAAAGAGAGGGGATGTGGGAAGCAGGACGGTCTGGGAGAAAATTCAGAAATCTGGGTCTGCTCCTGACCTCGGGAGGGAAATGGGAGATGTTGGCTCAGAGGTTTGACTCAAGGACCAAGCTGAAATATCTTATTTTATACTGTGATTGTTTTAATGCAGTCAAAACAAGGAGAGCTGGCCTAAAGGTGGTGATCTGGATTTTGGTTGGGAACGAGGATCATTTGGTGATGTTTTCCCTTTTGCCTGTAATTTACATAAATATTATCTAGAAGCATTATCCCTTTAAAAAAACGACATAAAAAACCAAAAAAGCAACAACAATTCTCAGGGTAGCAACTCGTTAAGTGTGGACTCCTTCATCCCCCAGCGAGAATTTTCTCCTGTGAAACTCTTGCATTTCACGTTGCTGGCACTGACACTGGACCATATGTGCTGGTTCAGGTATTGGAGGGAGCTGCGAGCTCTGCTCGGCTCACAAACCAAATGTGGGGTTAAGGGAAGTTCCCTTTGCTGCTCCAGGCGTGTTAAAACAGGATTGCTGCCCTAATTCAGGGCGTGCTGCAGTCTGTGCTGCCCTGGTGGGACAGGGTGGTGATGCTGGTGACTGGGGAGCAACATTTGGGGAAACCCTTTGGGTGTGCAGAGACACGGGAGGGGGATCCCAAACCCCCAGTGTGACCCCATCCTGTGACCTGGGGGACTTTGGGATCCCCCATCCCATGGGAAACCCCTCGGGTGTGCAGAGACACGGGAGGGGGATCAGGATCAGAAATGTAAATAAAGTGAATATTGTCCCCCCAATGCCAAGGGGCTCGGTGTAAATCACTCTCAGTGGTTCCCAGGAGCTCGGGGGTCTCTGCTGAACCAGGGCACCATCCCACGGTTATTCCTGGCTGTGCCAAGTCCTGGGATCCGGGACCAGACCTAGGGAGGCTCCAGAGATCTCCTCAGGCACAGCCTCGATGGTCCTGGAGGTCTTTTAATTCCTGAGGGAATGGAGGGGGTTGAGGGCACAGCCCTGGCAGGCTGGAGTGATCTCATCCATCACAGGATCCAGAGAGAACCTCCCCACATTTCATAGTCTTCCTCCTCCCTCTGGAACTTTTTTTCTTTGGGTTTTACCCTGGCTGGAGCCTGTTCCAGCTCCTCAGCCCCGGGGCAGGAAGGGTTTGTCACTACAGTAAAGCAGGCAGGGCTCAGTTCTTCACGTGTAAAAGCCAATCCTTAATGTCACAGCACATTTTTACAGTTTTCAAAACCTCGTGCGTGGCTTTAATTGGTTCATAACTTTCTTGCCACCTGATTCATTGGTTAGTAAATGGCATTTTTCATGTCCATCAAATCTCTGTGTTTCTAGAGTGTTTAGATATTTCCTTCACTGATCCTCATGGGGCAGATTTCTTGTTTATTACAGGTGTGAACATTTCTCTTGGCAGAATAGATTGCTGTGCTGCCGTTCATTCTCGTGGGTTTTTCCCATGGGATTTCTGCCCTGGATCCCAGGCTGGGTGTGGGCAGGCTCATCAGGAATTTACCCAGACTTCATTAATTAATGCCCTGCTCACAAAGTTCAGAGTCATCCTTAAACTCGGCAGTTCCGTTTTATTGACTGAGAAATCACATCTCAGTGCCTTTGGGTGTGTGTCAGGCTTCTGCTCGTTTTTAGCCTGCCCCACCGAATCTGACATTTCTGCAGAGAAATATCCTCTCCAGGGAAATTCCCTTTTGTGTCCACAGTTTCTGCTGTTGTCCAATTACCTAAGAAAGATTTTGCTATTTTATCTCTCAAATGGCAGCCTGGAAAGCAAATCAAATTTCAATTTGCATAGTTCTGTCTCAGCCAGGCGGGCTGGTCTGCATCAGAAAATAGAATATAGCAGAGTGTGTGTAGGTATATATACATTTATAAAGTTAAATGAAAATTCCTGTTCTCATTAGGAGCCTGCTGAAAGCCTGCTGCAGTCAGTCAGGGGACAGTTATTGATTTAATCAGCCCAAGGTCTCCTGGAGCCATCACTGTGCCTGCAGCTCCTTTTTCCTCCATCCCTCCCAGCCCTGCCCTGAGCTCCTCCAGCCCCTGCAGAGGGAACCTCTGGAATCCACTCCAGGAAATTCCAGACCCTTTGGAAAGGGCTGGTGTCACAGCTGGGCTGCTCCTGCCTCCTGCTCAGGGCTGGGGCACCGTGTTGCTGCTGTGGGGGCCTCTGTGAGACCCCAAAACTGCCCAGGCAGTTCTGGGCAACAAGGCACAGTGGCTGGGTTGAAATCAGGCTCACAATGAGCCTTTAGGGCCAGCAGAGACAGAGATGGAGAAATGCAGACAGGATTATTCCATAGAACCTTTATTTCTCCCACCAAGGGGGTGCAGTCCAGCAAATCCACTGGGTGGGGTTCTGAGGGGACTTGGATAGGGTTTAAGGGTTTTGTATTTTGCACCAATAACGAAAGGAATTCTATAACCAACCAATCTACAAAGGACTTCAGGGGAAACGGGAACCAATTATGTGAGAGGGAAATGGAGCAGTAAAATCACAGAGATCACACAGGGGTGTGCAGGGGCTGAGAGGATTCCTGGTGTTGGTCACTCTAAAAAACAATTTCCTCTCTAAGGAACCGAATTCCATGGGGGCCTCTCGGGATTTAGAGAGGGTCTCTGCTCCAGAAATGGTTTCTGCTCCCTCCACAGCACAGGGGTCCAGAGCCAAGGCTGGGTTCTACCTCCAGCAGGTCCCACCTGAGCTCAGCAGGTCCCACCTGAGCTCAGCAGGTCCAGGCTCTGCCTCTTCCCCTAAACCTGAGGGGGTTTCTCCTTCTCCCTCTCCCCCCGTGCTCTGTCCTCACTGGGGCATTTCTGACCCAAGTTCTCGAGTTTTATTCACTGGCTGCTCCAG